CGCGCGACTTATATGTATTGACCTGGGCTGATGGGAAAAGCCAGCGTTGACGCATATTTACCGACTTGGGCTTTTTAAAGTGTTAAAAACGGAAAGTGCTTGGAAATGTCAGGTTCGGCAACCACAGTTCACCAGAGTTCCTTCAAAACTGTGGAAGCCCTGAACATGCGACTGTCGATGAGTGCATCCACATCCAGTATGTGCATGTGGGAGGGTTCCGATTCGTTGGTGTACTCAGGAGTGAAGAAAATTGCAAGAAATCGACAAAATTCTTAATAATCCATAAAGAGTGTCATGGCTTGCAAACCGCTTAAGAATTCTCCCTACATTGGTAGTAAAATTATCAAGTATGAATCCAGCAAGGTTTAATTATATGAAGTGACAAACAAATTTATCATAACCATACATATTCTAAAATAATTATTTGGCTTCAGGGCTGTGATAGCCAATTCTGAACTTAAGCCTAATCCGATATGAATGACATTAATACGTTATGATAGTCCAGAGAATGAATCTCACCTGGCAGAAGCATTGATCTGAGTCAACGAAGGGGGCAGGCTTGATTCCCCACACAAAAGGCAGATCAAGATAGAAGAATACCCAAAGGAATGCTAGTGGCCAAAATTTGTCCCCCATTTGGCATAGTACTTATTAACTATACAAAATATCGGACCTGAATCGGAAAAAAACTCAAATTGCTGTGAAATGGGAATCACAAAGAGGTAGTACACACATTATCCATAAATTCATTCATGTCAAGTACAAACCAATACAAACAGTAGGCTAAATGTTCTAATATAAGCCTACTTAAAAGTCCTAGTATCCAGAATCATGGATATTTTTAAAATTTTTGTATAATTATTCAATATACCAAATGAAGGGGGGGGGGGGGGAACCGCGCCACTCTGAGATTCTCTAGTGCACGAGATAGCAAATAGCACGGATAATTTTTTGTTTACAATGCTTAAAAAAAATTCCTAAAAAAAAATATATCATTTTTCGCCAGTCGTTTTATCACTAGCGATAACGCGATGGCGACTCGAATTTTGTTTGTTTGGGCAGAGCTCCTCAGTCCATCTCAGTCTGCTCATGAGAGTGGTGCTTTCTGCGAAGTGAGGGGGTGGGGCAAGGATTTTGCAAGAATTTCCAGGTAAAGGATGAAAAAAATGTAGGCTTATTATAAACTGAAGAAAATTGTGTTTTTGTGAAAGAAGTCACTGTTTCTCAAGATGATGATCCAGGGATGCAAAAATCCTATCAACAAATTCCCAGGCGTGGGGGAGAGTCATAAATCTGTTTCAGGGGATTCTGAAGTGCAGAGGAAAAACCCGTTAAAAAGATTTGTCATTCTGAGTCAGTGAAGCGGGTCCTCCGGTCAGCGTCGTGATGCGAGCGCAAAAATAAAATTCTAGTTGCTTTTGCAAAATTGTCCCGTGTGGTAAAATGACTTGAGAAATAAAATGAGACAAACAACCCAAAAAAGTAGATCGATCAAAAGATGCACAGACGTATGGATGAATTAAACTTAATGTTAGATGCTATTTCAAAGGGAGCACAGAATTTCAAAGAGCGACACTGTTTTCAAACATATTGGGCATTCTCCGACAATGGTGCAGTTGGCCTGATGGTAAGCGGAGGGAGATGGGGAGACCTAAAGAAACGGAAAATCACACCCCATAAGGGATATGCGATAGCTATTTCTGCTCGCTGAGAACAGAAAGAGTCCAGCGTGATGCATGCATGCGGGATCGTTCCTGCAGAACTTCCATGATTAGGTTCAAATCCCATATTAGTTAGAGCAAAAATGCACTCCACAATAATATCTCCGTCTCTTTGAGTTGACCCAACCCAAGATCCACATGCATCTCTACCTCCTTCCCACAAACCACTTCTCTGCTGATTGCTCACCTTCTTTCCCATATCCCACAAGAATCGATTAACACTCGACTGAACGTCTTTCCTCAGACAATCTGCAATCTCACATCAGTATCATTCTGGCGTTCATATGTGTGCATTTTCGTTACTCTTAGGAGATATTCATCCGTTTGTTTTTATATGCTAAGCCTACAATAGGCCTGATCAGTATATCTTCCAGTTCCACAGGATAATAACACAGGACTCTGTGAGACATTCATCATTAGTATATTGGTATCAGTTATAATGAACCTCTCTTATTAAAAATAGGATGATTGATAAAAACTACTCATTGGTAACACTCCTACAAGAACGTTATTTGTGTGGGCAACCCCTTCATGGAATGGTGTGCACACATCTCTGACAGTCTTCATGCTTCATGATTTACCAACAAAACAGCCCTTATTTCACATAGCAAAAGTTGACTTCTTCTTCAATAATCAAATGGCAAATGAAAGCTATTTATTATTTCCTAATTGGAGTAAACATATCTTGAAAATAGTTTAATAATGCTGGGCAACCTTCTTAATACAGTTGGAAGGATGCCACAAAGAGGTATTTGCCATTGTAGCTTAGGCACGATCCTTCTTCCAACTTTCTCCTAGACTGGACAATTTGGGGGGAATAGCACAGATTACTTATAAAAGCTTCCAGGCATGGCCATCCCTTATACAGGGTGGTCCATTTAAATGGAACCATAGGGAGTAATGGGTTCATGATTCAGATTAGCTTCATTAAAGTCCGCAGCTGTCTGACTTGTGGTACATGAACCCATATGCACCCTTTCATCTTCGGATAAATGCATTACATTCACTTAACCCTCACAAATTTGAATCTGAGAAAAAGAAAATATTGATTATTCCACATGGTTCCATTTAAATGGACCACCCTGCAGAATCAGCAATTTATGTACTTTTCCTTTCCCCTTCCTCTACTTGAATTGAACATCTTAAGTTTTTGAATGCATTCAGGAGTCTTAACACTTTCTGGTCCATTTTATTTTTGATGCTCTAGAGATTGTTGGACTAGGTCAACCAGTGAACCACAAAGGGTTAATTCCTAGAACATACATTGGCATTCTAATTGGGCATATAACTGTAATTAATTTTGACAATATCTATGTCTACAAAGTCTCACTGTTCATTGTTTTCAGTTGACCAAGCTACATTTTCATGAAAGTTCAACAGGCTTTCATCTGCATGGCTTTCACTTCAAAAATATCCAGCCTAGTACCTAGCTTATTAGAGGTCCTGGCTGCTTTACTCAAGGCAGGCTAAGGGTCTTCTCTAACAGCTACTCTAAGAGTTTCTGTTAACACTTTCTCTGCCTAAATTTCAATGAGGTAATAGAGTAGAGGGCAAATGAAGTCGCCTTTAGCAGCAAAAGGGTTAAACAGAGTTGAACTCAGCTGAAAATATCTTTAAGCATAGATAAGGGCACATCTATTCAAACTGACTTTGTAATCTTAATGAACTTGTACACCTAGGGTTACATTACAAACATAAGTCAATTTGAAAGAGAAAAATTCAACTATAAAATGGTCATGAATATATCTTGAAGACTTGGTACCTTCAGCCTCCTGAGAAATGGTTCAATGCTTCCCATTTATTTTACTAATATCTATACCATTTTACTTTGTGGCACTACTTCCCAGGGGCCTTCTTAATGAACCAAACTTTTTTGGGTTTCTTAATCCTTTCACCTACACACCAACCATACTACTGAGCCCAGCCTTCCAAACTGCCTATTAATCATAAGTGATGGGCACTAATTAAAATAATGGGGAGAAACTCCGACTGCAACACCACATGGATGAAGGAACAAAGAAAGGAAATTCCATAAACTAACGTTAGATATAGTATATCCAAAAATGTAATAGTGAGATGGTGCTGGCATATTCACATTAGCACTATATTCTTAATTGAATATACATCACTGCGATTTTTATAGAAAAACCAAATATAACTTAACTATACAATTACAAATTTCGTACATACCTCTCAAACTGAAACCAGTCTGGTTCACTTGCGTGAAATGGACACAAACTCAGCTGAAAAACTAGCATATGCCTACCCAAAGTTCAGACTTAGCGATTCACCGATTCACAGCTTCACCGAGAAACTCAAGGTGATTGTTGAGCTGAGAGCGGAGGCCTACCAAAACCCCGCTAAATGAAGCTCAGTCAGTATCTTCCCCTTTGATGAACGGAGAAGTGAACCGGTTGGAAGTCAACGTAGTCGAGTGCGTGTCGACATATCTTGAAGGCGGACCAATGGGAACAGCAAACGTCATAGGTTCTCAACCAATCAAAAGGCTTCAATGGTGACTCATTAATCTCTCCACGTGCTTTCAGGGGATACTATTTCCAGTCAAAGGATGGCACGTGTCGCTATGCACGGGTCATAGGCCCATTGGTGGCCACTGTACTTCTTGTCCACGTATATGCCCACGATCTGTTGAGGTCAGGCAGCCTTGGGTTCGATGTCCAGCTTAAGCTTGACGTGTAGGAAAGAGTGATAGCGACAACTCTTTTCCCTCAATATTGCGCTGATGAAAGTGCAACACAATTAAATATCCAGTTTAGTTTAAAATATAATTGTAAGTTACTACAAACAAGCCAACACAGATTATTCTTTAATCCTTTGTTCTCACTGCATCAGTTAGGTTGCAATCTGTGTTTACCCAAGTACATACACATACTAAACAGAACTATTTCAAATTGAAAATAATGAAAATGCTGCATGTGACAACCTCCACAAATGCTGCTGCTCTCGAAAATGTTACTTTTTAGTTAGAAATATTTCATAACATGTGCAATCATTTGTTGTCTGCTTGGCAAACTCCATCATTATTACATCAGGTGCTGTCACAGATTAACAAGAAGCTATTTCGAGTCAGGTGAGTGATATACATTCATGACATATAGTATTTAAAGCATAATTAGATGGTACATAATGCAACTATTTGCCTTTTCTAGTTCACATCTACATCATGTCTCTGCACATCCAAAAAGCAGAGAAACCCCTCTGTGTGGCCAGCTGAAAGCAAGAATACGAGCTACTGGCCCAATAACGGTTGCTGAATATATGAAGGAAGCACTGCTGAATCCTACTTCAGGATATTACATTTACCATGACATGCTTGGTGAACATGGAGATTTTGCTACTTCGCCAGAAATAAGCCAACTCTTTGGAGAGGTGAGGTGGAACATGGTATTGTTGTCAGCAATTTGGAAATGAATATACTATTCTATAAAATGGATAATTTTAAACATCATCCACTCTTGCAGATGTGGGGCATTTGGATACTAAATGAATGGTATAAACTTGGCTGTCCAAAGCCCTTGCAACTGGTGGAATTAGGTCCTGGTAATGGAACCCTCCTCTCTGATGTCTTACGAGTAAGTGAACTACCCAATATACTTTGAATTTGTAATACATGACTGAAGAAAAGCATAAAAGGTATTTAATTCAAGATTCATAGATGATTGATCTTTGAAAGATAACATGCTTTTCTGGTAAAGACATGTTGAATAGTTTATTGCAAGTTTCATAGTGTCCTAAATATGAGTGAGATTGGGGTTAGACCATTTTTTGATAGCTTCAGCAGCAACCTGACCAGTGCAGACAAGCTCCAAGTCTGTAAGAATATGAGCCTTTGAATTGTAAAGAAAGGTTGATCTGCAATTAGCAGTGAAATTAGAATTTTGTTTATTTCACAGGTATTTTCACAGTTTGAGAGGAACATAAGCACATATCTCAGTCTTCATCTGGTTGAGAGAAGCTCATCACTAAAAGTGAAACAAGCTCAAAAGCTTTCTGTGAAAAAACAGGACTGTGATATGACAGGATATACACCTGCTGGCATTCCTGTAAAATGGTATTCATCTCTCACTGAAGTCCCAAGATGCTTCACCTGTTTCTTGGCTCATGAATTTTTCGATGCTCTTCCTGTTCACGTTCTCAAGGTGACACATTGATCAACTTGGCATGCATCAGAATAACTTTGATCTCTAATTGGTGTGTTATATTAGAAAACTCCAGATGGATGGAGGGAAGTTCTGATTGATGTAGATTTGGGTGTTGGCCCTCATCATCTACGCTTCATACTGTCCAGAGGTCCTACCCCTGCTTCTTTTATGTATCCCTCAGTGAGTAAGGCTATGACCAATCCTTTTTGCCATGGCACAGGCTGAAAATATAAGGGTCATCAAATAATTTTTGCTTTAGGCAAAGGAGACACGGAATCACATTGAGGTGTGCCCAGAAGCCAGTGTGATAATGGGTGAAATTGTTAACAGAGTGGAGGAAGATGGAGGCTTTGCCCTTATAGCTGATTATGGTCATATGGGGACAAAGGAAGACACTTTCAGGGTATGAATACACAAGAATGACATGGAATATTAACAGGATAATTCTTAAGTTACCTTATAGATTTCAGTGAGAGTCTCATTTTAATCTGGGACTCTAGAGCCACTCTTTTATTTTAGGAATTTTAAGGAAAATATTGAATGCAATTCTTTGATTTTGATTATGGTTGCAAGATTCACAACAGAATTGCAATTCAGTAAAGTGATGATTTATTGAGTGCGAAAACGTAGTAGTAAAGCATCAGCAGTCTCCTGAGGAAGTCTTCTGATTTGCAGCTACCATTAGAGACTATTCTTGATCTTGCACATAATATTTAAGCCACATGAACCAAGCTTAATGCTGTGCTATCAAGACTAATACATGAGAATTTGAACAGCATGTAGGTGGCTGTTCTCAACATTGGTATTCCCTTCATAAGAAGTAAATTGAGTATGCTATATGAACATTAGGATATCAATTCTTTGCATTTTGAGTGAGCAGTACCAAACGTAACCTGTCTGGTTGCTTTGGAATCACTGTCTGTGAAAATCATCTTAATTTATGTCTTTACTCAGGCTTTCAAGAATCACAAACCCCATGATCCTCTGTTTGAGCCAGGAGAAGTAGACCTCACAGCAGATGTGGATTTTGCCTACCTCAAATCATGTGTGAATCAGCAAAGCCTCACTTTTGGACCTGTGCCTCAGAGAGACTTCTTAATCAATATGGGCATCTCACTCAGATTACAGGTGAAATGATTATCATATTGACTCATAAAAGAAGCTGTGCCCCATTTTCAATGATCAACCCTCAATTTCTTTTGAACTGGCCTTGCCAAGCATGTTTTTTTTTTTTTTAAATAAAATACCACATTAATTTTTATCGGTAGAAGGAGGCACTTATTGTACCTGTTGTAAACCTATTTCTTATTTCTTTGTATGCTCTTACCTTAGGCTCTGGAGAGTCACTGCACTAAGGAGCAAATGGAAACCCTCACTCGAGGCTATACTCTCCTCCTGGATCCCCATGAGATGGGAGAGAGGTTTAAGTTTTTAGCAGTATTTCCTTCATCAACCACCATCATTCATGACAAGATACCTCCTGCAGGTTTTTTCCCATCTGAGCCCTCATGACATAGATTATTTTTGTTTGGCTTTCCCTATCATTAGGCCTAGTGCATAAAAGGTTACCATAGATTCAAATGAAAATGTCTTATGAATTGAGATGTCATTTCTTTTATTGAACTTCTGACAGCCAACTGACTTGATAGAATCCAACATTTTTTAATTGAAAATAATCACAGAACACTGGAATGGCATTGAAGGAGTGACAAAATTGTAAAAACACAAAAACATTCTTTCCCCCTCTCTTCAGAGCCAAAAATTCTCTCCTTTGGTATTATATAGGGCTTTTTTTTTTTAAATCCCAATGGTGGCAGAAGTCTCAGCACTTGGACTTGACAAGCAAAGAAATTTAAGAATTCATCCCAGCACCAATAAGAACCATTAGGGTATTATATCCCAAAAAAGGCCAACAATCACTGCCAAATGTTTTTCCCATTATAGGTACTTCAGTTGAAAGGAGCTTGATAAAGTGTTCCTTTGGCTTATGCTGCCTTGGTCCACTTTGTACATAGAAGGCTATGGTTCTATGATGAGATTCTTCATCATTTTTCCTCACCAGAGACCACAGATGTCCCCAAACCCTCTTGCAAGAATGGCTCCTTTTGATAGCGACACATGAGTTTAGTGGCTTCAATAGACCTAAATGGAATGGACTGATCAGTTGGAGACCTCCAAAACGCAGTTTAAGAAATGAAAATACAACCATGGATGGTTAAGGCTCCCTTTGATCCCACAGATAACAGACACAAACAAATACAAGGAATGGTCAGCCCATGGAAAGTGACTAGAGCTCACCGAAGATGCTTTCGTACTATATCCACTTCTTTGTCTGTGAACTTGAGGACAGCACAGATGGCATTAAGCATGTGTTGTCGGTCTGATGGGTTTGGCGTCCTTAAATAATTCACTATCACATTCTTCAGGTATTCTAAATTCTCACCTTCTCGAGAAATGCTCCTCTGCAACCTGTGATGCAAATGAGCCCTGACATTAGGGAATCATTCAAAGATTTCAACATAAAAGAGAGTCTCACCTATCAATTTCTTCCTCCAGGCAGGCTTCTCGTTCCTGATGAATGTCTTCTTTGTTAAGAAGTTTTTGTTGAAGTTGCCTAAGAGCAATTTGATCTTCATGCTTTTCCCTTCGAAGGGCTGAAAGTTCCACATCTTTACGGGCTAATTCCTGAGTGTAGAAGAGAAGCATGGTTTCCCCTTTGGGCTCGGATGTCTCTAGACCTTGAGGATAGTTTGATCCCTCTAGAGGAACACCATATCTGGCTGCTTCCCACTTCTGACGTAAATCTTCGATTTCTCCATCTTTCTCAGTCAAGAGTGATAGAGTCCGGTTCCGCTGGCTCTCTATCTCCTTCTCAATGTCACAGAGTTTGACTTTGTATTCATGTTCCAGAGCCTTAAGTTCCTTGCGATGCTTCTGCTTGTCCTCTTGTAGAGTCTACAAATATAAGCCATAGTACTTCAAATATAAACTTTCACAAAGATTCTCTTCTCAAAAAAATATGAAATATACCTCTTGTAGAAAATTGATGGTACTTTTGTACTCCTCTTCCATGTCATGGAATTGCTTGTTAAGAACAAGGATCTTCTCCCTGTACTCACTGATCTGGGTTCGAAGCTTCTCCATCTCCAAAGAGGCATCACTGGTTCCACTTGAGGGGATATGATATCATTTGTAAGAATGCCCTTTCTTTCCAATACCAGCAAGAACACAAAATGAGATGTAAGATAACAACCATAACAGAACTTCACAAGAGGCATTCAGTTGAACCTAAGACTATGCTGGCCTGGCATGCTACCACCTGCATTCTCTCTCCTGACTTGAAGCAAAGACTACCCAAGTCAAGACATTCACATACAAACAAAAAAAAAGCTCCCCAGTATCTTCCCATTTTTTCTAATTATTATTATTTTCAGCAGCTTTATGATAGATTTGTGAAATCTTTATGCTTCAAAACAACTTAATCTCTTCTTTATGCAAACAGAATGAAATTAGTTCAGTTTATTAGTTGACAGAGAGAGCTCAATCGACTTATTTATCATAGGGAACAAAGACATGAGAAACAAACATGAACATCTTAGGCATCAGGAACATAATGAACATCACCTGTCTATGTTGACTTTCTGGAAAGAAATTGTTTCAGGTAAAAAGAAATTAACAGCCTCCAACAGATACCTGGAGAATTACATGTTTTGCCAGGCCATTTCTGGAATTTTTCCATTACATGGCAGGACCCTTCACATTCCATCAAGAAATGCATCTGAGTTTCAATATTACACATGAAATTAGTCATGATTTCTTCAAAATTGGCCCTTAGAAGAGGTGATTCTTCTGCTTCACTATATCTCTAAAAACTCAAGTGCATTTTAGCATTAACTTTTTTTTAAAGCTTATCCCATGCATTTCTTACATAACTATAATATGATTATATTGTTCAAATTTGAAATGGACACAATGAATTCAATCACACATTTTAAAGATATTATGGCATGTTTCAAGCCTTAGCAGCAGATTTGTACTGACATGAGGAAACTACTCACTACTAATAATTCTCTTAGTTAATGCTCCACATGCAGCACAACACTGGTGATGCTAGCAAAAATGTGGGAAATGCTTGCACATCACTATGAACTTTGCCAGGCAAGACAAGGTGGACATGTTGAGAAGTAAAGAAAAGTACTGGGTTGATGTATGAGTGACTCAAGTTTGATGGTTCTGAGACGAATAATTGATGTATAATACATTTTTACTTTTTGATGAATGATTCTGAGACACCACTTTATGACAGAAATGTTAGGAAAGGAGATTTGTGTACATGGAGATGGAGATATGCAATACCCCCTTAGGAAGAATGGAAAAAAATTCCAGAAACATAAAAGAGGAGACTGCTCCCCTGTCATAAGCAGTGACTTGTCTGGACAAGGACAATGCATGTGACAGATTTTATCTGTCACATGCATTGTCCATCATGCATCACTGACAAGGAAACAAATGAGGAAAAATGGTTAGTCACTTTAGCGTGTACAAGGGTGGTCTCCTGACAACTGACTTATTATCCAAAAGAGAATATTTTCATGCAAATACATATGCTGCACCGATAAACTGCTTTCTGAGCTGTATCTCAGCTCTTTGCCTCATAAGGTCAGAAGGAATAAAACTTTAGAGGTACATGACAATGGTACCCAAAAAAAATTATTTCTAGGACAACATGCAGGGCACCCAAGGATATCACTAATAATAATTAGGTTGAGCTCACCTGTTCTGTCTCTGGGGAAGAGGAGATCGAACTCGGATTCTGGTTCGATGAACCTCCTCTCTCAGCCTCCTGATTTCATCCTCATACTCTTCCCTCTCACTCTCTGACAAGAAGCCCTCCTCTCTCAGTAAATCTACAAGACAAGAAATGTAAGCATGACCTTTTCTCCAGTTACATTAGCCATCAATGGCATACTGTTTTACAAAGAAAGAATGGAGTGTAGCCGAATACTCACTAAGAACTTGGTCCTGATGCATTTTCTCCCTGAGGACATTTTGAAAAATGGCAATGGGTTCCTCTGACTTGAAGCTTCTCTCACGCACCTGATGCTGCACACTCTCCAACTGGAGAATTTCCCCCTATGCAGAGGGGAAATTGAAAGGTAAATACTACTATATTAGGACACTCTTGTTACCAAATGTTGATGAAAGAAGACAGTAAGATTATTTTTTGCCTAATGTCAATTTCTCACCTTGAGTTTTTGGATGACATCCAGATCCTGTTGTCGTAAGACTTCATATTGGCCCAGGGTAGTTGAGAGATCTGCAAGTGATGCCTCTAAGGATGCAATTCTCTCTTGGTTTTCCTTTTGCACTGCCTCAGCTTTTACTTCTACTTCTTGGCAATGCTGACGTTCCTTCATGCAACAACATCCATGGTGTACATTTATTTTTACCACCTAAGAGATGCCAAAAATGATGCCTACCTTTTCCAGGTAGTGTTCATGTTGACGCTGAAAATCTTCTATTGCAATGAGAGATGGTCTTCTCTCCTGAACAGGGGGTACTTTGTCCCTGGAGGCTCGCAATTCTTCTTTCAGAGATGCAAGCTCCTTTCGTAGACCTTTAATGAGCTCTGATTCTTTCCTAGTCTCTCCTTTGAAGTCCTGATTTTGTTTCTGTTGCAGCTGCTCATTTTTCTCATTCAGCTCTTCCTCAGTTTTCTCAACCTTCAAGCGTAAATTGCTCACAAGTTGCTGCAACTCCCTAAGAAAGCACAAGTAAAGCCATATTCCAAGCTGCCAAGGTAGAGGTATTCGGCATATCATAAGAGGGTGCTTGATAGTCCAAACCGAATCTGAAGTGCATGCTGGACTTCCTCCTTGTCTCTTTCCCTTTGTAGATCTCTGACTCTGACATGCAGAGCTTCCATGAGATCCACTTTTTCAGCCAGTTTCTGCTGTGACTCATGAAGCTGTTGCTGTAGCTGCATAAACCAGGCAGCATCAAAGTGACATATCCAACATGACAAAACTTCCTATTCCAAGAATGACCCAGCCTAAATCATGGTATTCCAAGTCAAGTATAAATCAATTCTGCCTCATTCAAGTAAAGAATTCCAACTGACAATAATTTTTTCTGAAATAACATTTGAAATCAATTTTTTATATTCAGTAAGAGATTCCAGTCATGTACCTCATTCTTCTCCTCAAAGATTTTTCTCCTATCAGCTTGATAGGAAGCCTCCATACGAGACTTCTCAGATGTGATGGTGGACAGGGCATCACTCAATGTTTCAACCTGCTGCACCAATTCATCAACATCACTCCCATGGTGCTGAAAAAATAGGTAAAGTGGAGAGTAATTATGTGACACCTCCTCACAAACTATTCATTCTAGAATGATTTTAGCAAACGTCAACATAGAGAAGCTACAACCAGGAGTCACAAGTCCAACATTGTGATCAAACTGACCTGTGAATGTTGTGCTGATCCTTCATAAGATCTTCCTTCAACCTTAGTAACATCAGGAGGATCAAGAACTTGTTGGGAAGAAGATGATGATTCTGATGAAGATGTGGCATGAGGGAAAGGACTTAGTTCATTGGGTGTCTTGCTACTGCTCCCAGCTCCTTTGGCCACTTTCAATGCTGTTAAACTTGCTGCAAGTGACTCTTTCTCCTTCTGAAGACTTTTGTATGCAGTGACAACATCTGAAAGAAAAAAAAATGTCTGAAATAATACATCAGGATAAGCTTACCACAGTTATATACTATTCCATGTCAACTGGCCAGATTGTGAGAAGGTGTGACATTTGATAATCTCAGAAAATAATGCATTTTTAAAATCCATAGCTAACAGGCCAAAGAAAAAACTCCCAAATCTAACATGTTTTATTTCTCCTCTTGATGAGTCACAAAATATGAATTTCCTACATTTTAGTTTCCAGGCACATGTGATCACTCAAAGCATGTTCTCAACTCTGGCACTAATACAGTTATTTATGAGTGTCTTGGCTCACATGAAAGGTATATAATGCAGATTTCACAACAGGAGTTTAACTTTTATGAAAATGTGATAAAATTATTTTTAAAAATTACAATTGTTGACAATTTCATCATCCTTGACCTCTTGTAGGGGCCAACCAAAAAAATAAATAAATAAATAAAAATAACAGAGCTAAGAATCCTTCCCTGGCTCAGTTTCATTAAATGAGCACCATTTTGTTCTCATCATTTCAGTAGAAGAAATAGTAAAAAGAAAATCCTTATTAAATCTTCCACTTTTTCTAATTTTGTTAGACATTGAACTTAGATTTCACTCTGATGCATTCCAATTAACAAATAAACTGCTGGTGCAGTTAGCATTATGATGGTCTGGGTAATAATGGATACAGTTTAATTTCCCTCATTAATGATGGGGCAATTCATCCTTTGAGTAAATGTAGCCTCACATATAATATTGAGGCCTGGGCCCCAAAGCAAATTTACAAGACTCCATATTTCAGCATATCTCTTTGTTATTCAGGTAATACCAGGTATGTCTCTTATTTACTTATCTCATATCTTTTGCAGACTTAATTCTTTCCATTGAAGCTATACCATGGAATGTGGAACTTCAACAGGGCATTGCTAGAAGTAAATACGTAATGTTGCACAAGGGGTTAAATTCCATAACTCTCAAGTTGAAGCATACATCAAAGACTGTAAGATGAATGCTACAATTTGAAGGAACCTAACTACAATTAGTTCATCCAGCTGCAATCATGCATAGCAAGCTCCATTTGTGTCCAACCCAGTGAGATGAGACAGGCACACACAAGGGGTACAGGAACAGGAGAAAGGAATCTCAAATGAATGAGTGAAACATGCCATTAGTTCCTTTCACTTCATTCAAACTCCTCTTCGATTCCCTAAGTCTTCCCTTTGTGTGTCATAGCTACTACCAGAGTGTCACTCTGAAAAGATTCAAAGCATACAGAAACATGTTGAGGAATCAAAGATTTTAATGTGTCACCAGATCAAGTGATCCTGCCTTCACACATGATGTCCAAGTAAGTTATGTGGTACAACTGAGATGTTCACGAGGTCAATCATGCCATAAAGCTGATGGGGCTAAACAAAATATTAAACCCATGAAAATCGATGGCCTAGGATGCAATAGGGTCAGAAACTCTCAGTTTGCCAGATCTAGCATAAGGCCAACACAGCATAACATTATTAGGAATGACAAACACGCATGCTCATGCCGATCTTACCTCTGATTTTGGACTGATACTTCTCAAGCTCCTTTTGCTGGTCCCTGATGACTTGCAGGAGATCCTTCCTGGACTGCATAGCTAACTCAGCTTGTGCCATTTCCAGGGGACCCCAAGACACATCCCAAAGAAGTGGTCGATTGAGAGGAAACTTTCACTTCCTAGCGTACGAGTCCAAAGCGAATCGGACAAGTCGCAAGAAAGGCAGCCACTCACACTCACTCGTCTACCTTTCACTTGAACATAGAATACAAACGTCTCGACGCAGCCATGTCGAAAAAGCTGCATCTATGACGTAAGCTGTATCGTCTGATCCTGTGAGGAGCAGCTCTCCATAGCATTTTCGAGTTTCTTATCCAATCCTTTCATCTTTCTCTCTTCTTGTGACAATCATACAGCGATTGTGTATTTCCGCATTTCGCATTGAATGTGTATCGTTTTGCGAAGTTTTCCATTAAAAACCTCATTAAGATAATATTTACAACAAAAAAAAGAAGTGGATCACGAAGTCCATCCGTCCAGTCAAACTCCAGAAGTCTCGTCACTGCTACGCAGAAGGTCTCATTGATACTGGGATAACATTTTTCATTTATTGAGTATGAGGCGACTCCATCCTGCGACGTCTAGCTGCCTTCTCACGTTCTGTCTCTTCTTTCAGCAATCAGACTTCCCTTCCCTTAAACAATTGCTAATTCCTGAGCAGAGAAGAAGTAACATCGCTCAAAAAAATGTGGCGCAATAGCGAAACGAAAGCACGAGATGAAGGAGTTGACCAAGCCATCGTGCCAGAAAGACATGGGACAGGTGAGTGGGTTCGGTTGGTAATGCGCTTTGGCTCCGCGGCAAGGGTTCGAATTCGACCAAGTCAGGCGTTCATTTCCGACTGCAAGCCTCGGCGTGCTTGGGAAGAGACCTCTGAACACGAAGCACTCCCGTCGTGGAAGTGCTTGAGGATGAAGGGTGAAGGACGAAAAAGATCACATTCGGAGAAATCTTGGTAGTAGAAAGATCCCCATGATGAGGACGTGAGGTTTTCGGACGAAATCCTGGGAGAAGCTAGAGCTGGAGATTTTCCTGCTTCGTTCGTAATGGGCACACATCCGAGAGGATGAAGTTTTGCAGTTTGGACATACACCTACCTCTCCCTTCGTTCCGATCCATCCAAGCAGGTGGCAGGTTATATGCAAATTACCTTTATTGTCATCAATCGTCTTTAAAGTTCAGATCTCCCTTTCGTGTCCCAATATAACTCGGTCAGCCTCGGTCAATCTTCATAGGCTTGGATTTTGGTGTGTGGAGCTGAAAACACCACGGGTCCAGGTGGAAACGAGATAAAGAAAAAAAAAATTATTAGACCCAGGGAAACGCAATGCAATACCGTACTTACAGCAGGCAAATTTGGTACCTACACCCATTCGGCACAACAACGTCGTGTCAACATTGAGAAAGGGTTGATTTTTCAACTTAACAAGTTGCCACAATGTTGCAATGAAACACAGCTCAACGTAGAAAAGTTGATGCTGTGCAACGTTGTGTCACTGTTGAATTGTCAACAATTCAACAGTGCATTATAGTATCCCTTTATTCAGAGTCTGAAAGAGTTAGCTGACGATGAAATTGACAACCAAAATGGCAGGATACAAACAGTATTCTATTGAATACAATCATCCCACTTAAATGACCCTCAGAATTCAAATAGAGTAATTACATGACTCAACTCTCTGTTCTCTAGCGAGAAACAACTCCATGGGCATATTTCCTTGCTCTATCAGAAGCATCTGCCATGTGCAGATATACGAAATTGAGCATGTCTCCTCGGACCCATTGGCCGGAAGTACTTTGAGTCTCCTTCTGCCAGATTACCTCCTTAAACAGGTCTATCTAGAAATTCCAATACCTTCCCTAGTGTTGTAAATGGAATAAGATCGGGTGCCATATGAAAAATGCAGGGTACTGTTTATTTCAGGGCATCAGGTTAAGAATCGCCGAATCGGCGGTTATGCGCCATCTCGCGTCGATTCGTAGAACTTATTTTCTGTTGATATGATGTGGATAAACTCCACGTAGAAACAACATTGAGAATACGGCGAAAAACGAATTTGCGCTTAATAGTCTCTGAACGACTTCCATGATGGCTAATTACGAATAGTTTGCATTTCATCGATGTTGATTTTTTCTCGAATTCTCAACTTCAACATTTCCTCAATGTTGACACAACGTTTTTGTGCCAAATGGGCACCCATAGCTAATCCATGATCAGCTCCGAACCTTGATCCGACTGACGGAAAAGAGCTGTACGGAGAGAGTCTTTGGTCACTTCGGTGTCACGTGAGACCGTCGCTCACACGTGAGACTGTCGCTCACGTGAGACTGTCAATGTCATCCTCCGAATTTCGATCCTGGCAGCGGTATTCATTCCTAAACGGTCCGTGCGTGATCAGGTTCCTTCTGATTGGGAACGATTGGAACGAGGGTCCTCGATCTGGACCGGTTCGATCGAAACGCAGGGTCACCCGGTTAGTACGACTCACCTAGGTCTTTAAGACTCGTGATTGACGCGAAGGTGAAGAATGATTCGAATGCAAGGTCGGTTGGGTTGCGAGTCGGACCGGCATGTCGGGTGTGATCGTGCCAGGCACATTTGCCTGGCGGGGAGATCCTCGGGTCCCCCGCCCCAAATTCATGCCGCCTTCCCACTCGCGTGTCCGAGGACGCCCGGAATCCGGACTTCCCACACGTCCATCCTTTTATTATGCTTGTAAAGACGGTCCTCGAGCTGTCTGAGGTATCGAAAACTTTACCCCTACGCTCTCACGGCTTCGGCTTCACGACATAAACGTCCATATTAGAAGAGAGAGATGGGGTATCTCGCACGAAAAAGTGATCGTGACACGTTGAAATTGTTGCCGAGGCCGGTCTCCAAGCTACCGTAGGCCACCGCGATCTTTCCCTTCGGAATCCCGCCCTTCTTCAGTCTTCTACGTTCCCTCTATGATCCAAGGAAACGGTCCCATAAACGGATTTGGCATCGGTTTCGTTTTTCCAAGAGCGACGCGTAACAAACGGTGATGCCGCTCTGAGGAGCCCCTCGTCGAAGAGGCGAAAGAAGTCGTGGTCGTGCCAGCTGCACGAAGGACGAAACTCCTTCGAACCGCTGCGGGTCTTTCGTCAAACGCTTCAGGGAAAACGGCTCTCGATGGGTGGTCGCTACGCCCTTCAGAACTTGCTCGTGGCAGTCCACGAATAGATGAGCTGGTGTGATGCCACCTGGAATTCACGGCTGTAAAAACGAGAGATGAGCAGACTCGATTAGCGGGAGGGGGATGGTGACTCACGACCGGAGACGGTGTGGTTGGGGATGGCGAAGAGGGACCTCAGGGCAGTGGCGGATACAGAAATTATTCATGGGGGGGGGGGGGACGATTCCCTGGTTCCAACGCCCCCCACCTACCACCGCACTTCCGTGTCTGCATCCGTGGAAATCGGTCTCAGGTAACTCCCGCCTGAGATTCTTCCAGAGCACAGTAGCTGCTTCTAGTCTGGCATTTTATTTATCGCTATAAAAATTCGAATGTCCCTAGAACTAATAAAGTTGTTCCGCCATAGATATCCCATGATGGTCTCGCAGACCTTCCAGTAAACTTGCAATCGAAGGTACTTGAGGTGCCGTCTCAGAACGGGATAGTTCATAACATGAAGAAGTTCAATAGTTCAATACTGAGGCAATGGCGGATCCAGATGGGGGAGGGGGGGGGTGACTGCCCCCCCCCCCCACCCCCCCCCCCCCCC